GCCTTTCATCAGAGTATGTTAAAGCTTCTACAGACATTAAACTAAATTGCACAGTTTGCCTGTGAGATAGGTATATCTCATTACACTCTTCTTTCTTCTTACAGAAAGAAGAAACTGAAGGACAGGTAATTAAATGATTGCTCAAAGTCCCATAGCAAGTCAGGAAAAGAAACTAGAAGTCACATCTCTCAGTTCTGATTTCTCCCCACAGGATAACATTGACTCCATTTCTCAACTGTGGAACTGCCTGTGACAAAGGATGTCCTGAATGAAGGGACTGGCCAATTCCACACTGATACTAATAGGCCCTGCATTAAAATACAAACCTTAAAAAGCATGCTGTGAACAGCTAAGAGTGCCAGAACAAACAAACAATCTAGTTTATATGTAGGTGCCTTTTTCCACCACTCAACGTTTTGTTACCGGTTTGTATTTAAACCAGGACTTTCTTGGGATAGACCTAGATTTTGGGGGTCAGGAGATGTTGAGTTGTTTAGATCTTTTCTAGCCTCAACTGCCTTCAATAAGCATTCACATTAATCTTTTTCTGGCCAGAGACAGAAGAAGAATCAGGGTTGTTGTTACTGTTTTGTCAGGTGCCACAGAGATTAAACATAAATAAAGCATCCAATGTCTGCTATTCAAACATCAGTGAACTTTGAATTCAACCTGGGTTTTCCAAAACCAGTCTCAATCTCTATTTTGTGCTTATACAGCTAGACATGGATTCAACTCTTTACACACAGTTTAGTTTCTATTGACTTAAATAATAAAATGGGTTAGGACTGGACTCTCAAAGCATCCTAAAATATTAAGTGCTCAAAATCCATGGGATTTAAGTAACCAAATCCCTTAAGCTCTTTGAAATCCCACCTTAGAGCTTTATTTTAAGTTTATTTTATTGATCAACTTTAATTTACTGTCCATCAATGTAAAAACATACCCACACTGTTACTATCCTAGCAATACAGAATAAAAAGAACAAGTTCCCAGATTTAGAAGTGAGATTTTCAAAGGCACAAAGGGCAGATAGGCACCCAACTCCTATGCAATTGAGGCACCTAACTCCCCTTTATGCCTCCACAAATCTCCCCCATCATTTCCAAATTGGTGCAAAAGAGGAATACATGCATTCTCTGCCGAGTCCTAATGCACAGGAGCCTACTCTTTGTTCTTACCAGGGGAAGGTTGTTATTTCGTAAAGGGGTAGCAGTCTACAGCATTAACATTAGGTTGCATCTGTCAGGAATAATTAGAAAGGCTGGTGCATGTTCTTTTGACGGTTTGGCAGAAGTTAAACTATTTCATCTGCCTCTCTCTGGAAAACCTGGAAGATTTTCTCCAATATTTTTTGTTTTCAGGAGTCTGAGAAAAACTACACATGGTCACGCAGATAATTAAATAGAACCCTCAGAAACTGGAACTCTGATGCCTAAATACTTGGGGCTTGACTAAGCCCAGGGTTACACCAGCTTCCTGAAGCATAACCTAGGATATGGGGGAGCCTCTTGAAGAAAGTCTGACCGGCTGCAGTGGAACAAGCTGGCCAAAACACTTTGTTTGTTGGGGGGGAAAATGAGGCAGGAACTGGCTAGTGCAGCTCTCAAAGTGTGCAGAACAGGCCAGGGAAGAGGAAACAGTCAAGATGCCCAAAGTGTCCTGTATCCAGCCTCCACCAGGCCTAGTGGCAACATAAAGCTGCCCTTCCCCACAGAAGGGCAGTCACCTCTCCTCCTCCTGAGCATTCTCAATGGGGCGCAGCTGCGCCTACTGGCTCTAAATCTATCCACTCTTTTTGGCATGGACCATGACTGCCTCTATGGGCTTGTCTTCACTATGGAGCTAAATCGGCACTGCTGCAATTGATGCAGTGGCATCGATTTAGCGGGTGTAGTGAGGACACGCTCAATTGATGGAGAGCGCTCTCCCATCAATTTCTGTACTCCACCTCAACGAGAGGCAGAAGTAATGTCGGCAGGAGAGCATCTTCTGTCAACATAACGTAGTGTGGACCCCACAGTAACTAGATCTAAGCTACGTCGACCTGAGTTAGGCTACTAATGTAACTCAAACTGGGTCGCTTATATTGACCGGCAGCTGTAGTGTAGACCAGGCTTATGTCTGTAAATGGCCTAGCACAATGGGATCAGAGCAAGTGTATATAATCATAAAATAAACATTTATTAATAACCACCACCAACACCACGGCATACTCTATGAAGGATATTAAAAGGAAACATCTTCCAAACATGCCAGAAGGTGCGGCATATCTATAAGCAAGTTAGATGTACCTACAGTAAGAGCCTTTGGTTATGTCTACACTACAAATATAAGTCGACCTATATTAGTTCAACTTACAGCCACCGCAGTAATTACTGTGGTGGTGCATGTCCACACTGCCTTCCCTTGGGTCAGTGGTGCATCTCCTCACCAGGAGCACTTCCACCGACCTATGAGGGGCAGGTTCCTGTGGGCTGCCCCATGCCTGTTCCCCGCTGGGAATGGGGGGAAGCTGCCTGGGGCTCCTCGCCCCCACCCCATTCCCTGCCGGGAGCAGGGGGAAGCCACCCGGGGATTCTTGCCATCCGGGAGTGGAGTTCCACTGCCCCCGCTTCTCTCCCACCCCACCCCCGCCTGCTCCCCAGGACTCAGGCAGTTTTGTCAGTTTCACAGTTCACTGAGCTGTGAAACTGACAAAGCTGCCCAGTTCCAAACTGGGGTTGGGCGGGATCCAAAGCCACCCCGGCTTCCAGCTGGGAGTAGGGGTTCAAAGCCGCCCTGGGTTTTGGCTCCCAACGAGGAGTGGGAGAAAGCCCCCTGGGTTTCTCACCCCAGCTCCCAGTTAGGAGCAGGGTCCAGCCACTCAGCTCTCTAGGGGAGCAGGGGCTTTTTTTTTGTCAATTTGAGGGCTCCTGCCATGAAATTGACAAGACAGGTGATGTAAGGGATGTGGTGTCTACACAGACGTAGTGTTGCCCTAACTACACTGACATAAACCTAATGCCTCTCGTGGAGGTGGAGTTATGATGTCAGTGTAGTAAGGCACTTAGATCAGTGGGAGGAAGGCTGTAGTGTAGACACTGACATAATTAGGCCAACATAAGGGGCCTTATGTCGACCTAACTGTGTAGTATAAACCAGCCCTTTGTCTCATAATGTAACTTTAATAGGAATCATAAATTAACGAACTATTTAGCTGTAGTCACAAGTCTGGTTGCAATTCAGTACCAAAACCGTGAAATAAAACACTAGGTGGGAGATTAGACTGGTCTTTGTTCTGTTGTAAAAGATTCTGCTATGTAGGACGACTAAGTCTGTCTGCCACATAGCTATCTGTTTAGGTCAGCAACATTTAATGTTCCTGCTCTGCTGTGGTGTTTTGCGGGCTCCAGGAGTGGTGAAAGCAATAGATTGTTCAAATGCAAGTTCCATGTTTGCTTAAACTTCCTCACTGTATAAATTATTTAGAAGAAGCTGCACAAAGAAAGTCAGACGCTCAATCACTGAAGAAAACTAAGGCAGTTTAGTTACAGTGCTCAATAACTTCAGTCACTCTAATTTACCGAGACATTCAAAAGCAAGCATCATTTTAGCAAGCTATTATGAGACGCACCGGCTGGATTAAACCACACCCTTGCAAAGAACAGTGAAAGTTAAAATCAAACCTTGACCAAATCACAAAAAAGAAGCTCTATTTCTTTGTCAAATATCTAAGATTATGCAGAAACACAATAGAACCGATACTTGTATAGAGCAAAAGCCCAACACACAACGTCCACACAATACTTTTAGTTTTCTAACTAAAGCAATCAGAATCTTTTAAATACTCTTGATTTACAGGAAACTTTTCAGAGCGTATTATTTGCCTGGCAGTACTTGTTAACCTCACTCCCTCATTGTTGAATAGCAATGTGACAAAAGCACCTCTTACTCAATACGTTCCAAAATTTCAAAACAAAAACACTAACCACTGCCAGTGAAAGAAATATCTGCCAATTTTAAAAGTCACTAAATTATTCACTCGCCAAACTGTTAGGACACTGAAGTGAGGGGGGAAAACAAGCGAATTATGACTGAAATGAGCTCACGAGGAAAGTATTTCTCCTTCAAGGATGTTTACCTCGTCAATGTGGCTTACAAACTCTTTCACTAACACCGCTGAGAAACATCAAGACTAAGGGACAGTCAGAGTTTTTGTACAACCAGTTCACTTTGTACATACACAAGTCATTGTCTGTTAGTAGAACACGTGTATCCATCCAACTATTTCACTTTTGTGCATACACAAATCCCTGACTGTTATAAACATGTATATCCAACTATTTCACTTTTGTTCATACATAAATCCTTCTCTGTTAGTAAAATGTGAACCCAATCATCCAGTTCATTTTCAGACACTTATAAAACACTTACAAACAGAGGGGCACAGAAATCCAGAGATTAGCATCTCCCTCTCCTTTTTATAAAAATCTCTTGTGGAGACAGTGAAAGTTGCCAATAGTGAATGAGAGAGTATTTCGAAGTAAGTTATGAAATCTCTCCATGTCACCATCTGTTTTTCATTTCCAATGTATTTTAATTTTATGGTTGCCATATATGATTAACATATGGGGGGTGCACGTGTGTGTATGTACACTGTTTTAATTAAATACTAAAAATATTTCCACATACTTCAGAGAAAAAACGCAGTGTAGAATCCGTCAATGTAACATTTCAGCACTGAAATTTTTTAAAAAAATTAGTCACTTGTAAATTAAGTCCAACATTCATCATTACAGTTTTAAGGCAACTTCTCAAAAACTCTTTTCATTCTAACATAGTTGTATGGAACTTTTGCATTTGAGCTTTAAAAAACACAAAAACAAAACAAAAAAATCAGTGGTTTTGAATTTTGCTAGAAAAATCTATATCCCCAAATCTGGTTCAAAGACTCAGACCACGGATTCAGATTTTTTTTTTTTTTTTAAGTGCCCTGAAAATAGAGACACAATGGTTCTTACCTATTTGGTCTTCTGGAATCAGTGACTCAATGGGGGGGTCCAGTTCAGAGCTCTGTGACAAATAGTTCTTAACTTGTGTCATGAACTGCCGAATTGTCTGTAACATGTCAGTACTCGAAACGTGGCATTCCTTGTTTTCCTGGAGAAAGCTGACATAGTCCTGCACCAGGCACCCAAAATACGTGCGCTTGTCCTGGGACAGCTCTGCAATTTTCTTGATCATCCTCTTTTCGGGGGTCATGAAAGAACTGAACACCCCACTTACTTTCCTCAGCTGGGATTTCACAATCTTGGGAAGAACAAATGAACTATTCCGTTTCTTTTTGGGCTTCAAAGGGGGTGCCATGCTTTCCTGGTCACTTTCCCCTTCAAAGTCCTCCAGGCTGCTGTTAGTGTCCCCTTCGTAGCCAAACAACGGCATACTACGATCAAAATCCAGCGAGTCAGATGAGGAGGTGGAAATGCTCATGTCGCTCAGTCTCTGCCTGCCTCCATTCCACTGTACTAGTGACTCAGAGTTTGTAGCCAAGGTCTTTCTGCAAGCTGTTAAATTTTGCTCACACAGGGCTTCACCTGGATCGCAAGCAGTTTCTGACCCTCGCACTGAGTTATGACTAGATCGAATTACTGCCACGGTCTTTGCATTACCTTCCCCTTCTAAGCTAACAGCCTGCTTCTTTAGACGAGGAGGCGGAACAGGGGTTGGTTTCTTCTGCAGCAAATCCAAGTTCCTATATTTGTTATGGTTGACTGTTCCTGGCATGCTCGCCTGCTTTATAGACGTGGAGAGCTGTGGACTTGTGAGAAGGCTATTAATAGAAGGTGGTGGAGGTCTGGGTGGGGGGGAGCGAGGCTTCTCTGTCCCATTCACATCTTGAGTTCTTGGGCTCTGTCTTTTCAAACTTCCACTAACATCCTGGCTGTGCACTTTTAAGAAGAGAGGATTAATAAAACACAAGGCTCCATTGGTCTGGCTACACTCCAGCTCCGAAGGCGTTCTGGTTCTTATAGAATGCACTCCATTTATAAGGCAGAGCTGACGTGAGTCTTTGCAAGCATTGTCTGAGGGCAGAGGCCTACGGGGAGGTGAAGGATTTGGGGGGTTGTTGTTAGCCGGAGAGCTCCAAAAATCTGAAAATCATTATTGTGTTAACATAAGAATTTAGATATTATGCAGTTGGCTTTCAGAACATTAAACTCAATATAACAATGTTGAAGCATGGAAAACTTTAGGCAAACTTTTCCTTTTTAAAATTTTTTCTTAATAAACCTCATAAAACACTGCCAGACACAACTGAATGCTAAACCTTCAGGCTGCAGCTATTTGTCTACAGAGTTTATAAATATCTTGGCCAATGTGAATCTTCATAGCAAGTAAATTGGGATATACAGAAAAGAATGATTGCTATAAAGTATGCATTATTCCTGTTTTGAGACTCAAATAGACCCTGAGCTAATACCCCGGACCTTGATTAGAAAATAAGAGCCAGATTTTCAGCTTGTGTTAATCAGCGTAGCTCCACCATCATTAGCAGGACTATGCTGATTTACACAACCTGAAGGTTAAGACCTGGGAATTTGCAAATAAACTATATTTTTTGTTTGGAGTAAAAAATAAAACAAGTTAAGCATGACAAGATTGGAATCAGTTTTTCTCCCCTTGGCAGATACTATCTTTAGCCATGCTGATCAGGCGTTCATGTCTCTAAGTGTTTCAACCTGCAGCTGTGCATTTGTAATAATTACACAATTTGTTTGAGTTTTTTAAGATACTCAGCAGCATATAAATAGATTGAATATGCAGGGCCATCAGCAAAAACTGTACTAACACTAAAATCTGTACTAGCTTGACAAATTGTAACTGCAGTCTCCTCATAGCCCTCAGTAAAACATCTGTGAGAGTCTATGGAAATCAGACAACAGTTCCTTCAGCAACCCCATAGACTCCTGTGAACTATACTACAGGTGTTCAACATGCTTCAGCTTGACTCAAAAATGAAGAAACCAGACAGAAATAAATTCGGGCATTAACTGACAGCAATGTTCAAAACTATCTAGATGCTTATATGGCCCCTATTATCACAGCAACTGAGTGTGTCACACAAACAAATTTAACGTAAGAACAGCCATACAGGGTCAGACCAAAGGTCCATCTAGCCCAGTATCCTATCTTCTGACAGTGGCCAGTGCCAGGTGCTTCAGAAGGAATTACAGAATAGACAGTCATCAAGTGATCCATCCCGTTGCCCATTCCCAGCTTCTGGCAAACACAGGCTAGGGACACCATCCTTGCCCTTTCTGGCTAATAGTCATTGATGGATCTATCATCCATGAATTTATCTAGTTCTTTTTTGAACCCTGTTATAGTCTTGGCCTTCACAACATCCTCTGGCAAGGAGTTCCATAGGTTGACTGGGTGTTGTGTGAAGAAATACTTCCTTTTGTTTGTTTTAAACCTGCTGCCTATTAATTTCATTTGGTGACCCCTAGTTCTTGTGTTAAGAGAAGTAAACAACACTCCCTTCCAATTGGTCTTCACAATACCCCGTGAGGCAGAGAAATGCTATTAACCCCATTTTACATATGAGAAACTGAGGCACAGAGACACTAAGGGCTTGTCTACATTACCCACAGGATTGACGGGCAGCGATCAATCCAGCAGAGGTCAATTCCGCTAAGTGCTCTCCCGTCGACTCCGGCACTCCACCAGAGAAAGAGGTGCAGGCGGAGTGGATGGGGGAGCGTCAGCTGTCGACTCACTGCAGTGGAGACACCGCGATGAGTAGATCTAAGTACGTCGACTTCAGCTACATTATTCACGTAGCTAAAGTTGCATAACTTAGATCAATCCCCGGGCCCAGTGTAGACCAGGCCTAAGTGAATCATCCAAGGTTACATCGGAAGTCTGTGGTGGAACAGGAAATTGAAATTGGGTCTCCTGACTCCCATGCTTACACCTAATCACTAGACCATTACTCCCTCAGCTTTCAAACATATTATTAGTTTTCAAAACCAAGGGCACAAATTCAGCCAGAGGAAGTCCAGGGATAGGGGTTACAGATCTGCAGCACCCAAGCAGTGGTGCTCTCAGGTATTCTGTCTGCACAGGACAAACACAAGCAGAATAACTCTAGGTATGGATGTAGAGGAGAGCTTCTGAACAGTGGCATATGCACCTCCTTTGGACAGATTCCTCTAGTAGGTGTTGCCATCTATACAAGGGTCTGAGATGCCAATGACACTCCAACCCAACTCATCATGCCCTTCTTTGGATACACTGACCAAACAAACTCCCCCTAGAGAGTGTTTGCCCCATAGCCTGGCTGCAGCCAGTGTAAGTCTAAACTTTCATTAGTTACCTAAAGTTGCAGATTATCAAGGCAAAAGACAACACTCTTCAGCACACTTTAAACTGACTTCAGTGACCAGAGTCTTATAAAATGATCACCACGGTTACTGCTGCAAAACAAAATCCAGAGCCACCTCAGGGGCTCACTGCTGTATAAAATCCTGTGAAGTTCCCTGTGCCCAAGTCCTATTACAGTGCAAATCACTGTGCTAGGTAGTGCACACAAAAGTTTATTAGGCCAAATTCTGCTCTCAGTTAAATGAGTAAGAGGGCCAGATCCTGAAAGGTGCTGAGTGCCCGCAACTCCCACTGACTTCAAATATAATTCAGCATGTCCCCAAGGTGCTCAACCATATCTGTTTCAGGCCCATGTTCAAATTCTGCCAGGTTTCACTTCTGCTTTAGGCTCAAGGCACATTTTGGGATGTGCCCATATTTGTTTTAGCAGTAGAACTAAGCATTTCCTAGGGACACTCCCCTGCATTTTCCCTCCCACTTGAAAATACTCATCATACCATTGTGAATACATATATTTGACATGTGTTTCTACTTGCGTTCAGATCAGCACACCTCTGAACAGTCAGTCCTAAATCGCTTTGCAAATGTAAGCATGTGCCAATCGGTGTACAGAATGCTGTTCATGATGAATTCCATTCAAAACCTTCCAGCAATTACCAAACTAAGAGCTATGCTGTACGAGCCAATAACTGCCATTCCACTTTCAGCTGCATGTGCTCTAACCTACAATGCATGTGGGACTGCACCAAACCCTTGCTCTCGGGACTATGGGACTGTATTTGGATCAGTATGAGGTGTTCTGTTGGACAGAGTGCATATAGCTAGACAGAAAGTAGGGGGCAGCAGTATAGCAAACAAAATCACAGAAGCTTATCAGCAGGCTAGGAAGGCAATAGAGTGCCACTAAGTGGGAGAATTAAGCTACTTGCAACAAAAAAATCATCTTTAAAAAAACTAACTGGGCCATCGTTTACCAATTTTTTGTGAAAGGACTATTTGACTGATATGTTTACAATGACACAAGGCAATAAACCTATGTAAATAGTCACACTTACTCAGTCCCAGCTGAGCAATGTCTTCAAGTTCAGCTTCTGTCTTTGCTGCCGCAATAGCATGAGGCAATTTCAAGGTGAATGGCAGGACATCCCTTGTTTTAAAAGGAAGAACAGTATTGGTAATTTTTGCAATTATTTCCATATTTTAAATTTTTCATTATTTCCAGCATATGCAATGACTACAGGTCAGATTCTCATTTACAGCAAAGCTACTTTGAACTGCTCTGCCAGTTTAAAGGGGCCATAAAGTGAGTATGATGTAATTAACAATCTTTTAAGCCCCACTGGTGTAAAGAAACTTTAGTGTAAATGAGAATTAGTCCCCCAATGTTCCTTTCTTCTGGACTGACTCTCTCTGTCCCACCCACTTTTCCTCTTATTACAGCAGTAGCTTTTCCACTGCTCTTTTAGAGTATGTCAGTCTGATTATTGAAACATTCATCTGCCAAAATCAGCACTTTACCCAAAATTCCTATTTGTGCATAAAACTTGAGTTTTGTTCCAATTTAACCTCCAGTTTTCAAAAAGAACCTGAATGAAGACTTAAGACAGAGAATACAGAAGTGCTTGTAAACTCTGTCAGTCTGAACATACCTTTAGTTTGAAAATTTTTTTACAATAAATATAACTACATTCATACTACTGTCACCATATCTGTTTTCTACTCAATACGTATTAAAATAATAAATGGATGTTTACATATGGGACTCCACAGATGGTACTTAACTACAAACCACATCGACTATATAAATCCTCTGAAACAAGAACTTAAGAATTACTTTGTCTAAGTACTTTGAGTAAGCATTTATTACATTGTATATTAAATCTCTTCTCTACCCACTTGTTTATACTTGGTACCAGTGCATTTTTAAACACCAGAGTCTGAAAAACTGCAAAATCTGTATTAGAAGTACCTGTGTACTGAGAGTAAGGAAATAAGAACTGCTCATGTAGCAAAAATGTCCTACACACTTTTATGTACATTCAGATACAACTGGTATCAATACAGGTGATTTATTTTCAGAACTGTAAGCACATTGAGCATCTGGTGTAATACAGACAACAGCTCTTTGATCAATGAATTGCCATATTTGATGTTTACACCCTCAAAAATCAGCAACAGCAAACTCCAAACCGATGAAAATCACAAACGTTTGCAGTGAGTTGACATACTTACTAACAAGTAATTGAAAGGACACTGTCAACATCTCCATGGGCCAAAATCTGAACTCCATTTTAATCTAGGGAGGAATGTCTCCAAATGCTAAATATACAGAGTAAAATTCTGATCCTCCTTAAGGCTATGGCAAAATTCCCATTGATCTCACCGGGGCACAGATTTCACCCATCAGCTGGGATTTTCAAAACAGCCTAAAGAAATCAGGCACCCAAATCTTACTGAATTTCACTGTGACTTTGGTACCCAGCTCTCACAGGCTCCTTTGCAAACCCCAGCTGTATTTTTTTAAATTCTCCATTCTTGTCAAGAATCTATTCTGTTTTCTCTTTGGCCATGTCTACACTTATCGGGGATCGACACTGCTGTGACTGATGCAGTGGGGGTCGATTTAGCAGGGCTACTGAAGACCCGCTAAATCGACCGCAGAGCACTCTCTGGTTGACTCCGGTACTCCACTGGAACAAGAGGAGTAAGGTAAGTTAATGGGAGAGCGTCTCCCTTTGACGCCAGTGTGGTGTAGACACCGCAGTAAATCAATCTAAGCTACGTCCACTCCAGCTCTGTTATTCACGTACCTGGAGTAGCATAACTTAGGTCTACTTACCCCGGTAGCGTGACAAGGCCTTAGATATACTAAGAGATGTCATATACTCCCTCTGCTGCTCTGTCACAGTCACTGACTACAGCTTCCCCCAGTACTTTGCATATTCCCACTTATATCCCACATGATGCCAAGACACAGTCTGAAAAGGATAGGAACGGGAATGTTTTCTGCTGCTTGAGAAAGAGCAAAATAAGATATTCAAAGAAAGACATTGGCAGGGAAATAAACCGCAAGCTTCTAGGAGAATCTTGCTAATGTCGGAAGGTAAAAAAAAAAAAAAAAAAAAAATCAATCTATTAAAACCCCTGGATATGATTTCAGGTGCGGGTGTCTTTATGAATATCCAGGTGTAGCATTTTGGAATAGTTACAGCTATGTGTGGATTTGCATCACCCTTCTATTTTCTCCTCACTTTTCTTTGTCTTTCTCTGTATGAGGGTGCAGCAAGAAAGGAAGCAGGGCTGCAAATTGGTGCACAGCTGCAGGGACGGTGCAGTCTTGCATCCACCCTTGCAATTCCTGATTTTCCCAGGCAGGATGATTCCATGCAACTGCTGGGCCTTAACTGGAAATTCAGGATCAACCTTGCCCTGAACAAAAATGAATGTAAAGCCCCATATGGAAAATTAAAAGCTATTTTGACAAAATGGAATTTTAAACAGAGTGTGAATGGGGATGAGATAGGGGACCTTTCGCTGCTAGGTTACCAGTTTCAATCCAGTCTGGCTCAGTCACTCTCTGAGTGCTGTTAAGTTATTTATATGAATGAGCTTGTCTTCTACCATGTGCATCTATAGCAGGAGTGGGCAAACTACAGCCTGCGGGCCGGATCCAGCCTGTCAGGGCTTTGGATCCGGCCCGCAGGATTGCCCCCCCATGGTGCCGCAGGCCCCGCGCCGCTCTCAGAAGCAGCCAGCACCAAGTCCCTGCAGCCCCTGGGGAAGGGGAGGTAGAGGGCTCTGTACATTGCCCTTGCCTCCAGGCACCACCCCCCGCAGCTCCCATTCGCTGGCAACAGGGAACCACGGTCAATGGGAGCTTCGGGAGAGGTATCTGGAGGCACGGCAAGGGCGGTGTGCGGAGCTCTGTGCTCCCCCTCCCACAGGGGCTGCACAGGGATATGGTTCCGGCTGCTTCCCGGAGTGGTGCGAGGCCAGGGCAGGCAGGCTGGGAGCCTGCCCTGGCCCCGGTGCGCGCTGCTGCCACATCGAAGCCACTTTAGGTAAGTGGCACCGGGCTGGAGCCCGAACCCCTCCTGCACCCCAACTCCCTGTCCTGAGCCCGCTGTTGCACCCCACACTCCTCCTGCACCCCAACCCCCTGCCCTGAGCTCCCTCCCACACCCCGCACTCCCTCCCGCACCCCAACCCACTGCCCCGGCCCTGCATACAATTTCTCCACCCAGATGTGGCCCTCTGCACAAAAAGTTTGCCGACCCCTGGTCTCTAGCATCTAGCACAATGGGGTCCTGATCTTGGGGGTTCTGTGTGCTCCATAACGTAAACAACAACAAGAAGGTTGGTGCTCTCAGTCTCCAGTGGGTAAATATTCACACTGCCATAAATCACCACCATAACCAACAATAATTGGCAACCTTGTTGGCAGTCTGAGCCAAGGAGATCCAACTCCGCCTTTAGAACAGATTCCCCAAGATATGAAGTTTGGCCTTACTCTACCTGTTCTATGGCTAAACATAGGACTTGAGTCCCCGGAGCTATCAATCCGGGACTTGTGACAAGTACTGAATTCACAGTAAGATGAATTTAAGGGGCACATATCAGGCACTTCAACACACATGCAACAGGGAGAACCAGTGAGGCAACTGTTTAACAAGACCATCATAACACTGAAATCTGTCAAAACTTTCACATTTTTTCTTCAGTTTACAAATCTTTTGTTCTTAGCTTCAGTTCATACTCTCTTGTTATTTAGCCAGTTATCCTCTAAAACAGTCTACTAATATTTATAGATTAGTAATATTTATACTAGACTTAACGTGGCTAGCAGTCTAGGTACTTATCTAAACCAAGAAACAAATGGAAGTCAACCCTACCCAACCTTGGCAAAAGGAGATGATGATGATGAATATTTATACCATATTTAATCAAGAAAATCCTTATGGACGGTTACTCATTTTTAAGGATGTCTAGCAAATGCTACTCAAAACATAACATAATACAATCTTACCTGCTAATACAGTAGAAAGCGATGAGCCTGAATAAATCAGCAAAACTTATTCCAGAGCCCTCCAAAGAAAAGGCTGCAAAGAAAGATTATGAAAAAAACAGATCAGTCTTTTAATGCACATTCCAAGAAACCAGGCTTAATATAAACACTCCTGGCTTTTGCACAGCGTAAGTAGTTTGCAGCATCAAACTGACTACTGTTTTGTTAATCAAAAACAATTGTGTGGAGGAGTATGTGTCTCAGTCAAAAACATTCTAGTAAACATACCGATAGTCTGGGCAGTGGGTTTGTTTTTTACATTCCAAACGTGTTCTAATCCTTGGGAAATGAATCAAAGAGATTAAAATTGCACAACTTCTAACAGAACAGCCAGTCAACACTGAGACCTTGTGTTATTCATAGTACTAATAGAGACAAGTTAATTAAAAACCTCTTTCCTTCTCTTGGCACCCATCCTTTCCATTTTTTGCCTCAATTACATTAGCAGCAATACAGTAACCACTGGTAAGGATCGGTGGCAAATCTATGAATCATTCTCCTTTTAACAAAACTCTTCAATCAAGTCTCATTCACACTAATGCTTTGTGATAGCTATTACGAATTCTTTAGCTAAATATTTTTTTCTAATAAAGTTGCACTAGAACTTTTCTAAAAATTCAAACACTGTTATTTTAAATACACAGAAATAATAAAGATCTTTACCATGTAATTTCCACCATGGTTTTGTATTGATATCAATACATGTTTACAGATCATGGATAAATATTAATACAAGCTGGTACAAATCCATTAACTTCAAACACAGAGCTACCCATTCCCGTCAGTAGTAAATGTCACTCTGAGTAAAGAAGCCATGTAAGTAAAGACTCAGGGGAATAGTAATGGATAAACATATGAAAGAAAAAAAGCTCAATCACATAAGGACACTATAAAAGGATAAAGGTCTTGATAGCTTTTCCTTCATAGATCATTCATGAAGAAGGCTGCTTAGCTGAAACTGTTGCTAAATTTCAGTCGCAGTTTCCAGCACATTGTTAAAATAACCCCCCTTTGTTCTATTTGCAGTTTCCAAACTGTGCTCCAATCTGAGGAAGATACAGCTTCCTCTTTTTATTTTCAGTTTTACCTAGAACTGTTTTTCACTCCCTCTTTTCACAGAGATCACTACAGCTTTGTTTTGAAACTTACTGGAACCCTGCCTATGTTTTATTTCTAGTAACTAACGGTATGTCTTCACTACTGATGCCAAAGCGCTGCCATGGCAGCGCTTTAACCTGGCTATGTAGTCGCGGCACCAGCGCTGGGAGAGAGCTCTCCCCGTGCTGTAAAAAACCCACCCCCATGAGGGGAGCAGCTAACAGCGCTGGGAACCGCTCACTGTCTACACTGCCACTTTACAGTGCTGAAACTTGCATTGCTCAGGGGGGTGTTCTTTCACACCCCGAGTGAGAAAGTTTCAGCGCCGTAAAGTGGCAGTGTAGACAAGGCCTGAGACATGGAACAAATAATACTTGCATCATCATGAAAACCAAGGATTATTAGAAATGTTTCTCAATGGGGTTAAATTTCTGACCCCATGATTGGTGAAAATTGTTCTTAAGACTGAGAAACAAGTAAATGACTAAAAATAATACATAAACCCAGATTCTCCTTTGTGCCCAGGGCAAAGATGTGCCAGAAGAGAAGTCACCTGGTGGAGGGTGATGGTGGCATCATCATGGAAGGACAGTTTTAAATTCTGGTAGGGTTCTATGGAAGCCTCACAAGTGGAGACTGCCTATAACAAGCACTGAGGCCCCCATTCAGCATGGTACTTATGTGTATGCCTTAACTTTAAGCATATGAGTATTCTAATTGACTTCAGTGGGACTACTCACTTGCTTATGGCAAGTTAGGCATATATTTTTAAGTACCTTATTTAATCAAAGCCTTACTCTGCACATTGCCCAACCCCTCCAGGGCCAGCCTCACTCAAGTGAAGGTCTGCCCAGATGGCTTAGGAACCCTCAGCAGAGTGGGGGTTGTAGGCAGCTTGCACTGTTATTCCTTTGACCCTGGTTGACTTTTTTTTTTTTTTTTTTTTGCTGCCTACAGTCTAGAGCCGGGTTTCATCGATGCAAAGTGAATCTGGCCCATACAGTATAGCAAATGACTCCCATAATACATGACTTACTATATGTGCTTTCTTTTATTGCAAATTCCTTGAGGCGAGATCCAAACTCATTGGGTAGACGGAGAGATAGGACTTTCTTCTGCATTCTTGTGGATTTCCTAACCAGAAAGATCTATCGAGGGGGGGGGGGAAAATAAGATTTTAGAAATCTTTATTATAGATGCTTTTCATAGATTTTAAGGCCAGAAGGGACCATTAAAATAATCTAATCTGACCTCCTCCATAACACAGGCCAGAGAACTTTCCCAAAATTCCTAGAGCAGATCTTTTACAAAAACATCCAATCTTGATGTAAAAATGGTCAGTGATGGAGCATCCACCATGACCTTTAGTAAATTGTTCCATGGTTAATTACTCTCACCATTAAAAATTTATACCTCGGTTCCAGTCTACATTTATCTAGCTTCAACTTCCAGCCATGTGATCATGTTATATCTTTCTCTACAAGATTGAAGAGCCCATTATTAAATATTTGTTCCCCATATAGATACAAGGAGCTCCGTCTATTTAGCTCATCACTACAGGCATGTTTTCTAATCCTTTAATGATTCTTGTGGCTCTTCTCTGAACCCTCTCCCATTTATCAACATCCTTCTTGAATTGTGGGTATCTGGATACAGTATTCCACAAGTGGTCACACCAGTGACAAAAACAGAGGTAAAATAACTTGTTTACTCCTACTTGAGATTCCCCCATTTATGCTCCTCGGGATTGCATTAGTTCTTTCTGGCCACAGAGTCACACTAAGAGCTCATGTTCATCTGATTATCCACACACCGCATCTGTCAGAGTCACTGCTTCCCAGGATACAGTCCCCCATCCTGTAAGTGTGGCCTACATCTTTGTTCCCAGTGGTCTACATTTACATTCAGCTGTATTAAAACGCATATTGTTTGCTTATCTCCAGTTTATTAAGTGATCTAGCTTGCTCTCCATTACTAACCTGTCTTCTTAAATCCAGTAATTTATGGTGGAATTAAACTACAGAAATCTTTTAGAAAGATCCCACTTTCATTTTAAAAGACAAAATGACAGAGTCTCCACTATATCCATCTGTATGCTGCTTCAATGGTTAAATTACCCTCACTATTAAAAAAAGGTGAGCTTTATTTCTAGTTTGAATTTCTCTAGCTTCAACTTCCAGGGTTATACATTTTGAAACACAACACAAATATCTGAGGATGTAAACCGCTATAATCAAGAATGCAAATTTCAATCCCCCAAAATATGTTTAATAAAATGTAAATTTTGATTTGATTACAGGGATCATAGAGCTGAAAAAGTAAAATCTGGGATATTCAAAGGAATTTAAGTGAGTTAAGGTGCCCAATTCCCACTGAAATTCACTTCAGTTGAAGGTTTGCTTTTTTAAATGGCTTTATAAGCACTTTTCTGGTCCCCTCCCAATGTTTATAAGGGGCTTTTCATCAAGAAAGAAACTAACTTTGGTCCCAGTCTTGCAGGCTGCTTTTCACATATTTGAGGAATAATCCATATAAGTCAACAGGGCTCCACATGGACAGTGAAGTCCACCCACATGGAGCTCATTGAAGGACTGGAGCCTAACTGCAGAGGGGAAACAATGACAGTGACTGTACACAAATGCTGTCACTGGCACAAAGTAAACAAAAGGAGGAAAAAATGGTTTTCTACTAATTGCTTTCAGCTTAGGCACACTATTACTCATAATAATGGAAGATCAACATTTTCAGACAGAAATGAGCTATTTAAATTGATGATGGCCCTTTTAGGCCCGAAGCCAAGTGTGATGTGCTGACAGAAACAGATTTTGGTTTGCACTTGTAAGCCTAGCAGGTCAGATTCTTTCCTGCACAGAGATCTGCTGAGGGTACGAGAAAGAAGGGTACCATAAGAGAGCCAGATAAGGCTCCCCGAATTAACATGCTGCATCTAATCCAGCTCCGGCACAGGCTAGAGAGATCTGGAGTCTCAGAGTCCCCAAGGCTCGTACACCAGCCAAGAACTAATGGAGTGCAGTTGCACCTCACGCTGCCCACTCCCACCTCTGACAAGTCCCCTGTGCCAGGACGTGGGGTGCACCTAGAGAAGAAACTGGCTACTCCAGCTTTACACTAGCCCAGAGCTCCCTCACCTTGGGAGAATTTTTAGCTGGGCCCAGGGTCCAGCCCAGCAAATCTAATAATAGTGTGACCCACTGGTCAGTGTGCTTTACAGGTCCCTCCTCTGTGCGTGATCCATAGAGAACATGAGTCATCTACAGCCCCAGCTAGAGAGGCAGGGCTCTGTAGCTATATCAGCTCATGTTTTTGGCCCTAGTTCAATCCACAAAGCGTCAGCCAAGATGGTGGCTATCACATAAGGGGGATGACTCATCCCAGACTTGAACTGCTGTGGCTTTAAGGGATGAGCTTCCTTTTATGCATGCAATGCACTGGTGAGTGTGTGCTACATTAGGAAGAGATACTTTAAATAAATTGAAAAGGAGTACTTGTGGCACCTTAGAGACTAACCAATTTATTTGAGCATAAGTTTTCGTGAGCTACGGCTCACTTCACTGGATGCATAAAGTGGAAAATGCAGTGAGGATGTTTTATACACACAGACCATGAAAAAATGGGTGTGTATCACTTCAAAAGGTTTCCTTCATTATCATACATATTGTAAGGAGAGTGATCACTTTAGATAAGCTATTACCAGCAGGAGAGTGGGGTGGGGGGGAGAGAAAACCTTTTGAAGTGATAAACACCCATTTTTTCATGGTTTGTGTGTATAAAACATCCTCACTGCATTTTCCACTTTATGCATCCGATGAAGTGAGCTGTAGCTCACAAAAGCTTATGCTCAAATAAATTGGTTAGTCTCTAAGGTGCCACAAATACTCCTTTTCTTTTTGCGAATACAGACTAACACGGCTGCTACTCTGAAACCTTTAAATAAATTAAAACATTTTGAAGATTTGTCTCTTACTCCAGGAGGCTGGGACTGCAGAATTTCCACTGCTTCAGCATCATTCAGGCCAAGCTGTAGCCACACAGGATGGGTGTGGAGAAGTTTATCCAGTATGCTGAGTTTATTGGAAAGACTGTCATAGCCAGAGTCCCGGGGACAGCCTTTTAAGTCCTTTTTCTCAGGACAGACATTATCCATGTCCTTTACCGGGCTATGAGGAAGAGAATTAAACAACAATTAAAATGTAGGCAGGTACATTACTCAAAGAACAAACAATTCTACAAACAGGGAATTCTCTTAAATGACAACACTGTGGGTATCCCCCTTACTAGGTATTTCTTCTGTTGAGATTTCACATCACTAGTATCATATCACAAATTCTCTTCAAGAGCAAGTTAGAGTACATTACTGTGAGGTGGACAATAGCCTTTTGAAGTCCAGCAATTAACTACAAAGAGATACTATACACACCTATATGCATGCCTGTCTATATTAATTAAGTAGGGTATCAATTTTAATATCCATTCCTCTCTTATGTTCATGTTAAGAGAGTTTGTTTTATTATTATTCAGATATTTTTATTCCCATCTGGATCCCAAAAGTTAGCACCTACAGAAACCTTGCCCCACTCAAGATCATTCAAAATGCTGCTCAGTGCTCTTACCATGGCACTCCCCTCTTTGCACCACTCAATTGGCACTCCCTTTTCCTCCACACGATACACCTGCTTCTTCTCTTTGCTGTTAAGGCTCTTCATGGCTTAGGCTCCCCCTAACTAGCCACTCTACTAATCTATCACAACACTGACTGCCACTTTTGCTCCACCAGTGCTCCGGTCACTCAGCTTCTCCTTCAAACACCTCTATGCCTTCTCCCTTGATGACCCCTGTGCATGGGAGAAACCCCTCCAAAAAAATTCAAACGATCCTCCTTAAGACTCACCTTGACTATGATGCCTACAATATGTTGCCAGCTGACCACAATGAGCTGTGACTATCACTTACAGTGCAAAACTGGCTTGTTTCACCAATCCCTCATCCTCCCATTTACGCATCTGTTGTGTTCTATCATAATCAAAGACTGTACGCTCTTTGGGGCAGAGACTACTTTTGTCCTTCCTGTGTGAAAAGCACCAAGCACAATGGGACTCTGATCCTGACCAGGGCCTGTAGGTACTAAAGGAATGCAAACAAACATGGCCTGCATTTTAAACCCACTTTCTTCCAGCTTCTCTATCAGACATTTTACTGTGTGTCAAAGTGAGGCCTTTCATCACTACCTTTTTTAAAATGTCCTTCCCTCGCAATTGAAAATAAACAGATAAACAGACGTATAAAGTTTAAAGTGCTTTGGTTTTGACACTTAATTCTTCCCAAGTAGGGAAAGAAGGCAGAAGCTGTCCCTAAAAGGGGAACTTGGCAAGCTAATCTGAGTTAAATTTATTTTGTGGCAGGGTAGCAAGTTATTAAAATACTTGTTTAACTGAATAATAACAACACGCGCTAGGGCTGCTGATACTACATACTAAAAACATGCGCTTGCAAAGAAACTAAATGAACCCAGCACTGTATGGTTGTTTTATTCAAATTTTCTTCTTCAATTCCAAACTTTTGAACACGCAGTATGGCTTGCGCATGAATGTCTGCAGTCCTCCCTTATTTCCCAACTAAAGAACATCCTGTGTTGTTCGAAACAATTACAGAACTGTTACTTTGGCAACTGATCTCCTGATGCAAAAACTAGAGCAGGCACAGGAAAACTCTGAGCACAAGTGCTGTATGCCCTAAAGATCAAGAGCAGAGATGTTGTCCCTCCTAATGAAAGAACGTGGCTCTCTGTCCTACCAGTCACACCAGACTACATTGTGCCTTTACAATCTGCCCTGAGTAAGAAAGGCTGGCATGTAGCTCCGCCACCCCAGGAACAGACCAGGGACCAAATTGTAGGTCACATTTCCTCCATGCTCCCTGCTTGTTCTGAAGGGGGAGTAAGTTGCTTCACCCCTTTTCATGGATCAGCTCATTCTCCACTATGCACCCAGCCAGCCATTCTAGTCAGAATAGGAGGGGCAGAGCCATGCCCCACACCCCATTGCTCCCCCACTCCCTGACTACTTGCTCACAGCCAGGACAGCTGGACAAACAGTCCCAGTTCTCCCCACTATGGTCAAAGTCTCAGAAGGAAAATTGGGGGAAGGGGGGCATGCCTTACTCACTCTTATTCCATGGCTAAGTAAGAGCTGCAACAGTCATTAAAATTTTATATGACCATGATGTGTCCAATCACCACCTGCCTGGCTTGCATTTCCCCATTCCCCTACCCTCCATCTCTGCTTGTTACATTAGAATACAAGCTTTAAGTAGAGACAGTACCTTTTATATTTGCAAAACACCTAGGCTGCTGTTGGTGCTGCCAGAAACAAATGATAAGTTATAACCAGTTAGAGATTTTTTACTTCTGCAATCACAGTCATGTTTTCTGAAGCTGTAACTCAAACAGTCTAACACATTTTCTACAGAAACTTTCTGCTTTTGCCTTCAGAGCAAGTTAGCAGTACTCAAGCCAAATGAATTTTCCAAGCCAGAGAGTTTTTTTTTTTGGTGGGGGGGGAGGGCGGCTAAAGAAGATCTTTTTAATAGAATCGGCTGCAAACTTAACCACGTCAAGACTATTGCCTTTTGCCTACTCAGGCGATGGAGACAGAGGGAGTAAGTTTTACTCATGTAAGAACATCAATGTTAACTGTAAGAGAAGCAGCATTACTGGCATCAGCAATGCACTGCTTGCTTAAATAACGATATTTAAAGAATGCCAAGGGATAACGTACGTGTACATGTGTCCTAGCTCCCCACTATTTACCAGTGGATTAAAAGCAACTCAGATCTTAATGCTTCCAAACACACAGTCATACACGCCCTTTATGCTATATGTAAGAAGATTAACCTTGACACCTACTTATTTAAGCCAGAGAGTGTTTATCAGAAGGTCTATCCACACAAACCATTCCACATGCCAGGTACAGGAAGAAACATAGTACAGGTGTCCACACCTCCGTAACCTAGATACACAAAATTAAATTGCAGAAGCTCCTTGCAGCTGTGTGTGTTGGCCTCTCACATAGAGACAAAGGATTATGGACACATCAGTGTAATGTGTCTTTCCACCCCTACCAAATGCTCTCTGATTCACATGAACTAATGCTTTAGAGCAGGATCAGCAGTGGCTCATCTTAGCAACCCCACACAAGTTGACTCGGAACAAATTGCCCTTTTTAAATATATAATATTCCCATTCCCTACAGGTTTTCTTCATAGTAGATGGAAGGAAGAGACACCAGTCATGCGTGAACTAAAATTCCAGGAATACCAGTTGGCAAATGATTATATAACCTGCAAATCATTTATGCACAGCTAATTTAATAGACACCAGGGGACAAATCCAGCCAGCCATTTACACCACTAGAAGGGCACTTTTACACCACCATAGTGTAAATGAGAATCAAGCCCTTAGTCTTTGCATTTTCTTTAAGAAATGGTCCACAAACCAAAGGAATAAGGACTATTCCAGCGAGAAGGGGGTTACAGATATACAATCGAAACTGGAGAAGTGCTGAAAAACTCCTTGGGATCTTGTTATGTATTGTTTCTTTGAAAACAACAAAAAGAAAAGGAGTACTTGTGGCACCTTAGAGACAAGTCCTCCTTTTCTTTTTGCGAATACAGACTAACACGGCTGTTACTCTGAAACCTTTGAAAACAACAGTACCTTAACACTGAACAATAGAAAGTTAGAAGGGTATTTGATTGAGATAGTAGATACTAAAAAGTTGATACAACTTACATTGTGCAATAGCAGAAGAAGTTTAAAATGCATTTCATTTTACTATTTAATGACTCTCCCGGTGTTTTATCAGGATATCTTCTGTTGATATTCAAGACGAGTGGCAAGTAAGCCAGAAAACCAAAGCAAACATATCTGCATGGAAGTTCTGTAGGTTTGAGATAAAACTGTTATAGATTCTGGTATGTTTTGCACTGATTATGTTCAAATCCCCCGAGAAAGATTTATATTCTCCCTAGGTTTCAGCGTAACTCACATGGGGACTAAAGAAAACCAGTCATTTTGCCTAGTTTGTTTATGTTCATGAAACCCCACAATTATGTGGGAAATACTTGGAAGGTAAGAGCTGAAATGAATAATTAGCTGTATCTTAACTACAATTAACTCAAGGTAATAAGTCCACAGCGCAGGTTGAAACTTGTAATCAGTATGATCTACTGCCTGTAAACAGAGGGCTGGAATGAGTGTCCACATCCATGCGCACACTTCTGCCACCTAACACGTCTGTTTCCCCTCGGATTGTCAGCTATAGTGGCTTTTTCATCAGTTTCTCAATCCCCTCTTGATCTCTTGCTTTGACCCTGTAACCTGTACTCCTGACTCTGTTTTTTTTCATTCTTAGTCCCCTATAATCAGTTCATTTCGGGCCTCAGCTGGCCCTTCTTTACCTGAAGGAGCAGGCCTTTAGTTGCTTTTGCTATCTCTACCCATCATTGCTTAAGTTCAGATGACTTGCTCAGGCATTATCAATACAGACCACCTCCATATACAGTATTTCTCTTTGTTAGTCCAGGAAGTGATACAAAAAAACCCGAAACCGATATAACAGGATTTTGTTGTGCTTAACAGCCATGTCCATTCTGGGCTTTGGAATCAAAACTACAGTTCTTCGGCAGTGAAGCCAAGAAAGCCCCACTGAAGCCCTCACCAAAACTGCAGAAACTGAAATCAACCAGTGTTGATTTTAAAACACCTGTAGTTAGAAATCTAATATGAAATCAGTGATATCTAAGAAAAAGATACCTTTTCAGGAGAGGGCACAAAAGAATAGCTGTTCTCTTATACAAATGGGGGATTATAGAATCTTTAAAGGTTTTTGCCCATTCCTAGGCCAAGTCTCTTCTTAATTCCTGCAAGCTTTACTGTGATAGTTTATCCCTTCCCGAGAGAAAATTATCTTCTCAGAGCAAAAGGGCAGGATAGACACACCCCAAAACACAGGAGATCTGGCTAGTCTGCTGTTCATATAACAATGAGTTTAACCCACAAAGGTTAGGAAATTCAAAGCTGAGTCCTTATTGTTTCCCGGGACTGTTGCAAACAGGATGGTGGGTCTGATTCCCATTTACACGAAGGCCCCTATATACCACC